GCAGGTGACAAACATAGTTAACACCAATAACGGCACTGAGGCGCAAAACAAGCTGTTCAAGTACGAATATCTGCCGAGATCAGTTGACAAATCGGTTTATGGCATTGCAACGATGCTGGTAGAATCGTTCATTCCTGACTCGCACAGAAGATATTTGGAAAAGAACCTCAAGTTCAGCGATGCCTATGGAAGATATAATTCTAGAATACCGACTTATCTTCACAACCGACCACCACAGTTTGTTAAACACTGTTTGGACAGTAGATTTGCCGCTGGTGAATTCACTGAAGCCGACATCTCATCCGTAAACTTTCAGAAAGGCCAATTCAGCGTGAAAAGCGCAGCCAACGTAAACAAAAAGGAGCTAGTGGATTTTTCCTATCCTAGTTGCACCTGTACCTCCTGGAAAAAAAGTAATTACCCTTGCAAACATTTCTTTGCAGTGTTTGCCCGCTACTCTCAGTGGCGAGCTGCTCTTCAACGCATGGTATTCCTCTCAGAATAAGCCCAGTCAAGAAGAAGTTAAAGATCACGTCAACGGAATACCATCAAGTATTTCACAAGAAATTGCCCCCTAGGCGACGCTGGAAAAAGAAGACTCCGAAGGCTGATGTTATTTTCATTGAAGAAGACAGCAATGACGATGTTGATGATGATGATGCTAAGAGGAAGGTTAGCTTTATGTTTAATGATAAAGTGAGTCGAGAAAGGAAGATCCGATTGAGATTGTTTGATTTCGATGTTTGTGAAATATCAAACATTTTTCTTGTATCCACTAGGAAACTGCAGACGACTGTTTCAACAGCTTATCGAAAACACAATTGAGTTTTTTACTCGCGTCTGTATTACGCCCTAAAAATTCATGCTAGGCTTGCTTTTATCTGGCCATCAAGTTACGAAGCCTAGCTTTTCACTCTCTATCAATGACTGTCTTCTAATGAACCAATACAATTTTTTTTCAGGCAACCAACTTGTTCGTTGCAGACTTAACTGCGAGTGGTGACGGAGAGCAGAAGACTGTTTCGCAGGATGATGAAGCAAACACTACCCGTTTAGATCTTGAAACGCTAAGGTTAGGCCATAAGTCCTCTGATAAATACGGTTAGTTTAAATGTTAATTCGCATTGGAATTTTGCTGTTATTAGGAATGGAAGCGCTAAGCTGCCAGTGAAACAGCTGAAAGGTGAACCCACCGCAAGACTGTTACGCGCTAGTAAAATGGGCCTGAAGATGACAGAAATCATGTTCCACGACGGACCTGCCAAGCTCACCGTTTCTGATGCATGGACATTGATCCATCCAGAGGTTGCGAAAAGAAATATAAACTTTAACAGTGCAATAGCGGGATTTCAGCCTGGTTGGCTTGTGGACAAGGTGCTTTTTTTTTATTAACATAGAGTGTCTTCTCCATACAACTTTCCTCCATGAAATGCTCTCCTTTTTCATTTTTTCAAAGGTTATCGAAGCAGTTCTGTGGCGCCTGACCTTAATCCACAGAGATATTTTTGTGGCAGACACAACTATGGCTGAAATGGTAAAGCGACATTCCAGCACTCGCTTGCTTTGGTCAGGAGAGAACTTTACCTAGATTTCTAAAATATTTATACCCATGAACAAGTCTGGAAATCACTGGACACTTCTGGTTAGGACCTTACGATAATAATCTTTTTGAATAACGCACTTTAATCAAGAACCTTTTAACTGGACTTTGCATTATAAATAAATCTTTAAGCGCTCTCTTGCTTATGTTTTAAAGGTTCTGGATCGAAAGCAGAAAACCAGATATTATTTCGATCCCATGAATGGGCGTGTACACACCATTTTGAGCACCTCAGTACCTAAGAGCAAACTGATAGAACTGATCGATGACATCAGGTGAATTATTTTCAACTCAATGTTTTCCTTTTTATTTTGATGCATGCAGACAAAACATACTTATGTAATTGCTGTATTTTGTTTGACTCTGCAGTGCCGTTGCTGATCTCAAAACGGGATGGAATTGCAAGTCATGGCTATGTGTTGAACCACTACATTACACACAGACCGATAGCTATAACTGTGGTGTGATTGTATGTCTTGTGAGTAGCATAATCACTTGCTAAAGCTCACTTTAATAGGACTGCTTCCTGGTTTCGAATGTATTAAATTTCTCTTTGTTTGTTTTAAGTTTGCTCGGTGTTTTTGTGAGGGGTTGGATATCAATGGAAGTTACGATGTGGACATGGAAAGGGAAAGAATAACGTCTGTCATATTTGGCTCGTGTTATGATGACCTTGATTGGTAAGTTTTGATGGTGTCAAATACCATTGTTTCTTAAACGCCGCAACACTCTCTTTGACGTCCCATATCTTTTGTTCAATTATAGGAGAAATACCGCGGTCTGTAAGATTTGCAAAGACGACGATGGAGAGGATTGGCTTGGTTGCGATAGCTGCGGCCAGTTTTTCCATGCAAGTTGTCTGGATGCGCCTTTCGCGGAGACGCTTACGCAACATTTCACCTGCCCTTAGGGTGGCTTCTTGTCAGCACAAGTAGAGTTTAAATTTTAAAGCTGACTATAACAACGAACCAGATGATGAACTTAATGTCATGTACAGACCTTAATTTGCAAGATAAGAAATACAGTCCTTGGTAGTCAATTAAGATAGATTTTCACGAGCGTCAATGGTGCAGAATCGTAACTTGATGGAGCCAACAGTGGACAACATCCCAGAATTCAAACTTTGTGATTTTTTTCTCGGCTTAAACGCTAAGTCAGTTGTTCAATTGAATAGGAAGAAAAACATTTCGAACGGAAAACAGCATTATTTGCACGTGTGGATCTTTTGAGAAAAGGTCTCCTAAACGAGTGGTCTTGATTGTAAATATTTAAGGAATGGTAAATACATTAGCCTTAACATGGCTGTTTCTCGAAGCTCAGTGTTTTCCTACTTGCCTTTTTTCCACGTGAATTGGGGGCGATTGAATAGATATAATATGCAGTAAAAGAACTTCAGCTGATAGAAATTTTAAATTTCTCATCTTGGGCTGTGGATACAAAATTCAAGTGAAAAGGAAGCCAACTGTGATTAATGCTTTGAACAAGTCAAGATACTTTTTTTTCGTCACACAACAAGTTACATAACGTGAATATCATTCTTCTTGATGCCTTTCCCGGTGTCACCAATGCCTTTCCCGATGCCTCCGTTGGTTAATAGAGCATTAAAAGTATTGTTCCAGTTAAAGCTTGAGGAAAATTGCTTAACTTTTTAAGTAGCGAAGTGTAACTTGGTAACATTTCGGCTTTACAACACGATTGTTTTCTGCAACTACAAAACGTACATTTAATTCTTCTTGGTACCTTTCGGATGCCACCGATGCCTTCATTGTTTATTAAAGCATATATGTACAATCAACACTTTTGAATTGCTTAACATTTTATTTAGCGAAGTAAACTGTTTACACTTCGGCTTTACAACACGATTGTTTCCTGATACTACAAATGATCTGTCTATATATGAAGTATGAAAGTTGTTTCACCACTGACCACTCGTATTTGAGTCGTTTTTTCTATCCCCGCTCGTCGCCCATGATGTAGTAACTCCCCTGAAAAGGAAACCGATCTAGCAAATCAAACTGATTAATAACTTTTCTCTCTCTCTCTCTCTCTCTCTAAAGATTGAAAGTGGGGCATTTTTGCCACGTTTCTTTCACTCGTTCCTTATTACACTCAGTTTATAAAACTTGACAGTTTAAAACATTGGAAGCATAGAGTCTTCAATAATGTACATCATATTACGTTATCATTCCACTGCCTTTAAATTTCTATTTTTTAGATTTTTTTTCTTTCCATGTACGTTGCGAAAGTTCCCTACGCCGTGGAATTGGGAAAATAACGCCAAAATGATGGCTTTTTTCGTGGTTAACAAGATATCCAGCCCTTTAGGCATATTTAAATCATTCTCTCCATTTCCAAAAATTAATCTCTCCAAAAATTTTGCTGCCCGAAAAAATGCGGTATACGTACATACATCTTCATAGACTTGCGAGGCTTGCTTGACATCGAAAGTTATCAGAAGACGATTTTTGAGCGCTTTAGTGAATATTTTTCGGAAAGCCGACGAAGACCACAATAAAACGGTTGAAACTTGTAAAGCAGCACTTCAACTTTATTTTTTAAACTTTAAGACTCTTAAAAATTGGTATCGAATATTTTTTTAGAATTTTTTTCTACTATGGACTTTTAGCGCTAGCTGGAGTGACAAAAGTGCCCTAATTAAAGACTGGACCAAAACCCGAAGGTTCTGTGTGATTTTGAAAACTCTTCGTGAAAATTTAATTTTGCTCATCATACTTATGGCGGGAATGTTAATTCCATGTTAATTACTGTAGATTTAATAGCATATTTCACACTACTTTTTCTCGAAACGTTTTAGGACATTTAGGGCACTTAAGGCACTTAGGGCAACGTTTAGAAAATGTGCCGCAATCAGTGAAGTAAACGTCATTATAATTGTAAGTAGATATACTAGACCCTAAAACATTCTCAATCTTCAAGTAACAAAATCGTGCTTTTTTTGCGACTCTTTTCCACTCCGGCAAATTAAGAAAAGCTTCGTACCTGGAAGGCTTTTCCCCTAACCCCTACGTGTCAATCCTTACCTTTTGGCGCATACTCTTTCAAAGGATACCTTCAATTTAATCATGATAATAAGAACACTAATTACAATAATAAACATTTACCAGCTAAGGAGTTGACTAACCCTACACTTCACTGAGGCTAACCAGATAGCAACAATATTTTCTTAAGAAAAACAGGAACGACTTAAAAACAATCAAAGTTGTGATTTATATTAGGAAGATTCGTAAACTATTGATGGAAGTCGGATTTACAGAGAAAAATGCGAGACAATTTTGACCAATTGCTTTCACGGTGGTTCGTTGCTAGGTTTTTTCCTCCCGGAAGCGCGGGCGCGTGAATGTCTGCGGTAATTGCCATTAGTATTCCAACGTAAAGCAACATGGCGGCGAATTTAAGTGAAGTCGTGTTCGATTTAAGAGGCCAAACAGATTTTTCAGAGAGGGGAAAAACATTTTGGAACGCAAGTGAACTGGAGCTGAAGTTTTCTTTTGAGCGGGAGTGGATGAAGGCGGTCAGGCGAGCAAAAAGACGACCAAACTATGGTATGGGGAAGATGAATAGCGGACTGGAAGAGGTTTGCGGCAACAAACTTGAGCTTTGTGGTCCACTGGTGGATGGCTACCTTTTAGAAATTGGAGAGCAGATTGCTTCGAAACTAAGTCGCTCAAAAGCAACATCATTGGTAGGCCCAGTTGTCATCTTCATTCCGTGGCAGATATTTCATAATAAACAAGGTAATATTAATTAATATTGTGAGATTAGTGTTGATCAAAGAAACACGAGTTTGTAGCTTTTTTTTCAAACATACATTAGTTACACGTCTGTGTCAACATGGTCTCATGTTGAAATTTTCTAGACACTGTATTTCCTGTAAATATATTTAGCTTTCCATCTGGTGTGTAAAATATATTATTTTAAATTTTATTACAACTTCAATGATAAATAATCTTAGGTGACATTGCAGTTAAAATTTACCTGGTTAAAAAATAAACTTATGTAAACTTTATAAATGGTAATAAAATATGATTATGGAGCTTTCTGGTGATACATTGACAGTGAAAAGTCTTATTTTATATAGTCTCACTTGCTAATGTACCCTCAAGGCGTCTAATAAGAACATCTTTGTTTTCACTAGTGCTTAATTGCCTACTTCGAATCTCGCCGGAGAAAGTATTTTCGCCGGCGAGATTCGAAGGCCAGGATGTTCTTAGAAAAAGACATTTCAGTCAACAACCGAAATCAAAGGGAAAGCTGTCGTCTGTTTACAAAGGCAGGTCAGCCGTTGTTGTATCTAAAAACACTCCTTTTGTTGTTGAATACAACCTCAAAAGTCAGAAGGCTATGGTGACATTTTATATTCAACGGTACACGGCAGAGGATTATGTTTTCGACAAAAGCTTACTAAGTCTCATGAATAAACAAGGTAATATTAATTAATATTGTGAGGTTAGTGTTGATCAAAGAAACACGAGTTTGTAGCTTTTTTTTCAAACATACATTAGTTACACGTCTGTGTCAACATGGTCTCATGTTGAAATTTTCTAGACACTGTATTTCCTGTAAATATATTTAGCTTTCCATCTGGTGTGTAAAATATATTATTTTAAATTTTATTACAACTTCAATGATAAATAATCTTAGGTGACATTGCAGTTAAAATTTACCTGGTTAAAAAATAAACTTATGTAAACTTTATAAATGGTAATAAAATATGATTATGGAGCTTTCTGGTGATACATTGACAGTGAAAAGTCTTATTTTATATAGTCTCACTTGCTAATGTACCCTCAAGGCGTCTAATAAGAACATCTTTGTTTTCACTAGTGCTTAATTGCCTACTTTGCAACTCCATTTTTAGGTCACTTACTTTCATATTTCTAAGGTTTAGATTACGGCTATGTGTAGCTGGACCAACAGGCTGTTTGCTGCATAAGTGAACACTTTTATGAGCCTCGTATGTTACAGTATCAGGAAATCTCTCATTACATACAGAGCATAGGACTGGTTTTAATGATGAAAGTACTTCAGGTATTAGTTGCTGTCCCTCTGCACACTGGACAGTCACCCTGGCATCTACACATACCTCACATATATAATCATTAATTTCCTTTTCTCTTCCACAATTGCAAAAGTTGCTTGAATTTAGCTGAGAAGGAAGCCGAGACTTAAAATGAGAAGTATAAGAACTTGGCATTGGTTGATGTTCTGGCAAATAAAATGCTCTTACATAATTAGCTCTCATGACTTGCCACCATTTCCCTTTTTCAGTTGTTTTATTGGATCTGTTTAGTTTATTTTAAACAGATCCAGTTTTTTATATGACTTGCCACCATTTCCCTTTTTCAGTTGTTTTATTGGATCTGTTTGTCAAATCCAAGTCATTTTTAACCCCTGAATGTTTAGCCTCTTTTGCCTGTAATGATATTATACCATAACCCACTTTGTAACTTTCATACAGTTTAGTTGCATGATATGGTATGGCATACCCTACTGTCCACACAGTTACATTAACATTTGATGAAAAAAATAATGCATATTAATTAAAATAAAGTGTACTAAATTCCGTGAGCTTACCAAGGTAGGAAGGGCTAACTTCAATTTTGTTAAAAAGAGCCCCAGCATTCCTAAGGAGCTGTGCAATTTTTCCTAAGGCTAACCTTTCTAGTTTGTGGGCTGGGGATTCATCCAAGACTTTAAGGGCATCAATGAGCCTAAAAGAAAAGTTTGCCAAAGCAATGGCCTGGTCTCTTATCAACCCTATTGGAAGCTTCTTGTGCCTCTGAGCCTCATCATTATAGTGATCCTTAATCACAGAAGCTAAATACCCCAACCCACAACCAAGTTCACCAAAATCTTCCTTATGGTTACTTGACAGTGCATTGTCCAGGTCACATACAAACTTTTGGTTAGAGGCATTAACAAAATCAACCCTAGTAGATCGTTCTCCAGCACCATCATTATGTGGAACATAAACTTGTGATTTTCTATTCCAATTACCATTTCCTTGATCAGCTCTCCTTTCTACAGCCGAGGCACTTAATATATCAATAAATTTGGTAAAAACACCTCTTTGTGCTGCTACCCTGTATATGATATTTAACACATGTTGCCATGCATTAATTTCACAGTGGATAGGCTCTGAGCGCTGCCGCTCTGCAAAAATTCCAATTCGGGGGGTTCCTAACTGGCGAATCCCATTCTCTGCCATGAACTGTAGTTTTCTAGAGTGGCGATTTTTTTCATTCAGGGAAGATGGCAGGGAAATCATAAACTCATTTACCCTCTTAACATGGGAATTTCTGACCTCCAGAGTATAAGGTTTGAATAAATCTTCCTCCCCCATCCCAATAGTGGCACCCATAGTACACATATTTCCTTTGCTTACGTTAGCATAAGGAGATGGGTAAGTGGCAGCTTGATTTAACTCATTATTAGCCCAGCTTTGCCAGCTCATATCAGCACTGGGCTGAAACTCTACAGTACACTGCTTGTTAGAAACAACAAATATATTACCCTCTAACATTTCCATTTCATCAGTGTGTTGCTTCCAGATACTTTGTAACACCTCATCTTTCTCCCCCCGACTGACACAATGTAAAATGTACTGGAAATCCCTGCTTCTCACCCTGTCCCCAAAATTCCATGATGTTAGGCTGCCAATTGACATGGTTAGCTGACTTGACTCAGGGGCCCCATCATCAGAAAATTGCATGATGAAATGATTTATGTTGTCATTAAACCAACTTAGCTTACGGAATAAATAGGGAAGTCTAAGGTGCAGATCAATTATCATAAAAACCAACCCAGTTATTGTTCTGGAAACACCCGGTGCATTGGGAATTTGATTAACATGACCAATGTCAAGACTTCTCACAAAATTCTCCACCCGTTTGTCAGAAATAGCTATATTTGGCACCCTTAAGTCCAAACCTAAACATTTTATGTTACGGGGTACCCATAGATCAGAGTTTGGATCGAAAACTGAAGACTGAGTTTTGCAGACAAGGGCATACTTTCTGCGAGACAGAAAGTTCTGGTACTTCATAAAAACAGCTTGTTTCAAAGCCTCATCGGAATTTTGATACCCTTTCATTGTCTTGTCAAACAGACCCTGGAGATATTTCCCTTGTTTAAGTCCAGAAATCAGTGTGTCCATGGTTTGATTGTCAGCAGTAGATGAAATATAATCCCAAGCCCCATATATTGACCCTTCCTTTCCCCCATGAATAAATTCTAATACATTTTTTGTCTCCTGTCTTCGTCTGTACTTAGTGCTGGAATTGACATTTGTAATCATATCATAAGTTGTACTGGCATTTTTTCTCCTAGCTACTGAAAAGCCTTTTTGTTCAAGCAGAGATTTAAATTTGTGATATTGCTCATTTAATTGTGTTACTTTTTCCTCTTGTTGCTTTACTTGATCTTCCTTTTCTTCCACACTCTTTTGAAGGCTTTGTAGCTCTTCTTCTACTGCATCTTTCTGAGCAACAGAAGTTTGTATTTGTCCCTCTATTTATTTACATGTGATTTTTTGCAATCACATGTAAATAAAATACTAAAGGAACAGAATGTTGTACATACATAACTTAATTTTCCGTTCGAACTTCAGAGTAGCATGGTGGTAAAAATGAAATCTTTTGCACGTTTAGAAAACACTCAAAGTTATAATATTACCATATTCATCCAGCCGAGCCTTTTTCGCTTCAATGTCCTGTGATAACCTTTTGTTTTGTTCTTGTAACTCTCCTTTTCTTTTCAAAGCTACATGTGAAGATGAACTCTTCCAGAATGCGTGAAAAGTTCTACTAGAATCACAGCGTCCTTGGTGAAATTAGGCTTACTGCATTTTCTGCTTTTTCCGCACAGAGGTTTTCGACTGCAAAGTGAGCAAGAAATTTAAGTTATTCAATATAACCACACAAACGCGAATTCGACGTTCAGAATTGCTTTGCTTACCTATCGTCCCGTTTATCCCCTGAAAAATTGCTGGCCATAAGAAGATTCTTCCTCGAATGGTCTTTTTACTGCCGTAATTACACACAATGATTGGCGATCTGTAGAGAATCCAATATGGCTGCCAGCAAGAAGCATCGAGCGCTCGATAAAATCGGGGTTTAAAATGTACAAATTTACGGTTTCCATGATTGAAAATACAAACAAACGGAGTCTACATATAACGATAAAGCTTTTTTATTTGTCATAGGTAGGATAAAACGAGAATAGAAAACTACCCAGGATGGATTTCCCCCTCACAACGCGCCAAATTCACATTCTTAAACGATTTCACCTCGAAAACACAATCCTATGGGGGGGTCCCGAAATCAAAAAGATACTTTAGTAGGGGAAGAATATGCCTACCCCTGAAAGTAACGATTTTGACCTTTTTAGTTAGCGTTTAAACCAGGAATTTGTCTCAGAAAGGGACTGAGTAAAACTCGCTTTTCGTTACCAAACGGCAGCGTATGCAAGCTTTATTATTAGAAAGCCATAACTGGAATGTTGGGCAACTGTGTAAGATGCAAATGTATTCATATTGTTTATTGTATTCGCCGGTAACAAAACGAAAAAGGGCCTGGGACCGAATGTCGATCGCAAAGCATGCATGATTGGCTGGACAGGAAGACATGTTGACATACATGTGTTGTAATTTATCTTGTTCAAAAGAGACTAATTTAAAGCTGTTTTGAAGGAAAATGCCACATCATTTTAACTGTTGTGTGCCCCAGTGTACCAACAACTTTAGAAACAAACCAAATCTGGAATATTACAGGATTCCCAAGTGCGAAAAGGCTCGGAAATACTACAAAGTATCGCTTAGAAACGAATCGCTAAAGCTGGATTCTTCCCAAACGAGAATCTGTTCTGAACACTTCGAAGGTGGCCAAAAACTCAGCAGAAATCATCTGCCAACAATATTTCCATGGACAAAAGAGAGAAAATCAAGGAGAGAAATCTTTAAGCATGACTTTGTGCCAAAGAAAAGGAAAGTCGCATCAGTTGTTGTATCTACTACTGATACTGACAGCAGTTACTCTGACAACAATGCCAACATTGTAACCCAAACAACACCGACCTCGACTGAATCACTGCACGAGGATCCATACTATACGAGAGAAGTTCAACCTGAGGAAATACTGAATAATTTTCGAGAAGAACAACATCAATATCTTTCTAAACACACTCAAACTGACATAGATTTGGCATCATTGGAAGAGGGTATTGAATGAGGTATCTAAACTCAAAGAGGAAAACAAACAATTGAGAGATAAATGTGACCAGTTAACAAAAGAAAACAAAAATTTGAACTTTATTTCAAGTAATAGTGAAGTTTTTAATATTGAGAAGTACAAAGATAATCCTGATGACATTGCATTCTACACTGGACTCTCTGATTATGAAATGTTAATGATGTGTTACAACCTAGTGAAAGACTCAGC